GGAAAGTTAATTAACAAATGGAGACGTAACAACATGTTCATAATGATAATAGACTTTATAATATATATAAGTTTCATAGACATTTTCATAATGATAATAGACTTTATAATATATATATATATCTTTCATAGACATTTTCATAATGATAATAGACTTTATAATATATATATCATAGACATTTTCATGAAGTATTAAACTGTATTCAATAATCAGTTGGTCACCTTTGGCCATTAAAAAATTTTTTTGGCCATAATTGCAAACCTATATATCACATGGTGTGGACAAGTTAGGAGATCAGTCCTTCATATAATAAGTCAACAATGCATCATAGTGTTCTCAGGTATAAAACTTAGAAATACTAAAAATTACTAAACATTATCACCAAAAGTAAAAAACAGAAAGTTTCATTAGGTGTTAAAATTCATTTAAAATATTCAAAGCTATTGTAAATAATTTAACCACTAATACCAAAGATATTAAACATTAAAACAGAGAGTGTGTCGTATGGTTATGGAAAAAATCAAACCAACTATAAGGGAAACCTTAACACAAATTAAGTATTTCACAATGATGCTAACTAAGTGTATCATACAAGAACTATAATTACTTACCAAGAATATCATTCCAAAGTTTTTCTATCTCTACAAGCAGCTCTTTTGACATCTCTAAAGTTTTGTTTGCATCATTAGCAACAGGTTGTGCTTCGTTTAAAGCACCTTTAGCCTGTTCAAAACAACAAGTCTATTATCATTATGAAAATGTCTATGAAAGATATACATATATATTATAAAGTCTATTATCATTTATAAAAAATTACAAAATATGCAATAAAGAAAGTACATATACTATTAAGAACTTGTGATCAAACACAAAGTAATAAGATCAGAACATAAGAATTTCTACACATAAATAAAACTTATTTTGTATAACAAACAAAAGCTAGAGTTACTAAATCAATTTATGAGAAAACTAAAACCTATTTCTCAAAATATATTTTATAAAAATTGTATATATTTCCACCTAGAAAACACCACACTAATTTGGTGAATGCAAAACAGAAATAGGCTGAAACATATTTCTTTTTTTATTAATGAGATGAGTTTATATGAAATAACGGGTTTTCAAGTTTATACAAATGTCACAGGCAAAAAATACAAATTTTCAAACATTTATTTAGTTACAGTGACTGAAACACAAATCTAATTCTTAGACAACGTATCTTAGAAACAGACAAACAATATTGATATCTTAACACATCATGAAGCTCACTTTGACTCTTTAGATTACCATAACCTTGTTGATATTAATCATAAAATTTTGATCAAAGCAACCTAACTACAGAGATCATTACTAAAAATCAAACCAGTACAAAGCATAGCTAATTGAAGATACTGTTATTACATTATTACTTATAAGAATTTGTATGTAATGTTTTATCAGTTTGGTAACTCACTGTTAGAAATATTTCTGGATATAAGCTGAATAATATATCATAAGGTTTAGCTAGTTTAGAAGATTTAAGTTAGTCCTAAATTAATAAACTAAACTAGCAGTATCAAATAATCTTTATAATCAAAATATATCAATAAAAAATTACAAATAATAAGATGTGATATATTAACCATGTGTATCTTACTTATGAAACATACGAGTATTAATAGTTTTTCTTCATGTATTGTCATAGCTTTAACATTTTACCAAAGTTTATCCTGATATTTTAAATGTCTTACCACACCATAAGCTCGTTCTGCGGCAGAAGCAGCTTTCTTGGCAGCTTCCTCAGCTGCTTTCAAAGCATCAACAATCTCTTTGTATGCTTTTGCTGCTTTCAGTGGAAGATCTGAAACTTTCTTTGTTGCACTAAAACGACTACAAAAAAACAACAAAAAAAACAATGTCAAATCTGACAATATGTTAAAAAATGATGGAACAATAAAACATTTTTAAAGACTTTTAAAATACAAATCGTCTCAAAATCTGTTGCACATTAGTAAACTGTTTTTATTTAACAACCACAAGCTGTTAGTAAATTTGGTATTGTTTCTTATCTATTCTTTCTGTTTTGAGACAATGTTTCAAACTCCATAATCAATCCTTTTTTTTTTCTATTTAAAGACAGTGTTTCAAACTTTAATATCAATCTTTTTTTCATGCAAGAACAAAGTGCCAAAATCAGTATTTTTAAACCAAGAGAATATTTCTCAATTGTAATTTTCAGTGCAAACTACAATCAGGAAATTTCTCTAAGCAAAACATTATACGGTCAACAGTTCCTCTAAACATTATATGGTCAACAGTTCCACTAAACATTATACGGTCAACAGTTCCTCTAAATTCTGTTTACTACAAAAATAAACATTTGTACTTTTAATGTATTATAAAGCTTACTAACTGTTAAATTAATAACCTTTCAAGGAATTAATGCTAATTAATATATTTCATCCAAGTAAAAATTAACCTCTTTATTGAAACAGAGAAGGTTATCATAGTCCAGATGCGAGTAACCAAATAGGTTTAATAAAAGATACATATTCTGATCCACTGATAAATTACATTTATTTAACTACTTACAAATTCTAGTGCTGTTGTACCATTTGTTAAAATATTCTAGTGAACATTTTAGTGTCTTTTGATAACTCATAAGAAGTTAGATTTGACATTAGCTACCACAACCAACTCTTGTATGACTGAATACTGAGATTTGACTATCACTATTATAGTGCACTCACAGCCTCAAAGTGCATAGTATGTTCCTGTGGCAACTAGATGTGAACCACAACCCAAAAATTCATGGTCTGGCCACAATAACTACTAAACCCAACTTACTCTTGTAACTGCTGGGCCTGTTTCCATAAGTCATCTGCATGCTTTTGGGCAGGGATGACAAATTTCTCCATGTATTCAGGATTTAAACGACTGAGGATACTACGTTTCTTTTCCACCTCATCTGTTGCACTCACTAATTCTCCTTGAAGTCTTTTAAGTTCCTTGTAAAAATAAACAAAAATGAGGTATTCAAACGAGCACAAGGTCTTTATCAAAAACACACAGTGTTTTAATAATAGTAAACTTAAAACAATTATTTTTATACTTATTTCAAGATAACTATTTAAATTTTCTATGACAGCAAACACTTTTCATGAAACCATTACCCAATTCTCTTTTTAATAGTAGACTACCTACAACATGTAAGCTTTTAACAAAAGACTTTACCACTGGAAAATTCACTTGACCTTAATTCTAGTTTCTTGAAAGTAATCCACTGAAAATCTCTAAACTCTTAACACCAAAAACAATTTATCATTTGGTTGTTTGGTGCTTTATGGCACAAAGCAACGAGGCTATCTGCGCCAAACAACCAGTAAAAACAGTGAAAGTAAATTAGAATAAAATGTAAAAATACAGCAAGTTAAAACCAATATATGTCGATAAAAGATTTATATACAATTAAAAAGACCTGTAGTGTGTAAAAAAAATAAAAATACAATCTAGTCGGACAGTGTCACCATTACCAATGACACTGTCCAACGTCAGAGGTAAACTCTTGGAAAAGGCGTGTCTAAAATGGTGCCATGGCTCACAGTTGTAATGACGGCACAACAGTAAAATGTGGGCTATTGTGACTTGAGTGTCACAATGGCTACACACTGGTGGGTCAATACCAGATAAAAGAAAACGATGGGTTAAAAAACTGTAACCAATGCGTAGCCTTGCCAGGTCAACTTCCTCCTTCCAATCCTTACGGAAGCAAGACGGCCAAAGACCAACAGAAAGTTTGATCTGGAAAAGCTTGTTACGATGTTGCTCACCCCAAGACGACTGCTAACTGGCATGAAGCTGTGCCTTGAAGACAGGACCGTAGTCCATGTACGGGACAGGTACGGTTGTGACGGCACCAGAG